ATTATGAGATAAAAGTATAACCTTCACATGGTTGAAGTGTGTGTATGAATTCACTTCATTATTAAATGCACTTCTGGGGAGTTGTGCCTAGCACTGCTCTGCTTAGAGGGAGTAATCAAAGGGAAAGTAAATTAAATGCACTTAAAAGGATAAGTTTTAATAATATAATCTTCACAATCTCACAGTATGCTTATTAAATCGTTGTGTGCGTGCCTGATTTATCACAAGAATGTAACTTTGGTTTCAGGGAGGTACAGCTGTGTATTATGAGAAAGAATTTTTGGCTAACATCAATTGGTTTCAGCTGTATGATCAGCATGAGTAGGAATGTGTAAGGAGGAGGGAAGAATAGTATATATTACACCGTTGTGGTAGTTTCACTTCAGATCATTTTGCTCTGCTGCTGGCTATGATCTCCAGATGCATCTGCAAATAAAGGTAATAGTGCACATTGATATTTGGTGTGTGTGACTGAAATTCTTTCCACTATCTGGACTCAAGAAAGAAGTTTGGTACTTCACATTGGACAAACTCCCATGAACCCTCCAACACCCTAGTGAGGGTAAACAGTGTTGACAGAACACAGCTTCCCCCTCCTGAGCCACCAGACATTTCCCCAGAATCTCTCTGAAGCCAACTGAAAGTCTTCCTCCATGGCTTCACTGAACTCTTCCCAGGCCCGAGTTTTTGGCAACTGCCAGGGCTGCGTCCCGCATGGCCTGTTGGTACCTGCCAGCTGCTTCAGGAGTCCCATGAGCCAACCAGGCCCGATAGAGCTCCTTCTTCAGCTCGATGGCATCCCTTACCTGCGGTGACCACCGCCATGTTCAGGGATTGCTGCCGTGACAGGCCCTGGAGACTTTACGGCCACAGCTCTCAGCAGCCGCCCCGACAATGGAGATGAGGAACATAGTCCATTTGGACTCAATGTCCCCAGTCTTCCTTGGCACCTGTTTGAAACTTTGTCGTAGGTGGGAGTTGAAGACCTCTCTGACCGGAACTTCTGCCAGACTTTCCCAGCAGACTCTCACTATACAGTTTAGCCTGCCAGGTCTATCCAGCTTTTTCTCCCACCATCGAATCCAACTCACTAGGTGGTGATCAGTTGACAGCTCAGCCCCTCTCTTCACCCGAGTTCCCAAAACATATGGCCAAAGATCAGAGGAAATGACTACAAAGTAGATCATCGACCTCCGACCTAGGGTGTCCTTGTGCCATGCGCACTGATGGACACCCCTATGTTTGAACATGGTGTTTGTTATGGATAAACCATGACTAGCACAGAAATCCAATAACAACTCACCACTCGGGTTCAGAGCAGGGAGGCCGTTCCTCCCAATCATGCCCCTCCAGGTATCACTGTCATTGCCCACGTGGGCATTAAAGTCCCCCAGTAGAATGACAGAGTCCCCTGTGGGAGCACTATCCAACACGCCCCCCAGGGACCCTAAAAAGGCAGGGTACTCTGCACTGCCCTTAGGTGCGTAAGCACAAATGACAGTGAGAGACCGTTTACTGGCCCGAAGGCACAGGGAAACGACCCTCTCATCCACCGGGGTGGACTCCAACACCTGACGACTAAGCCTAGGGGTTATAAGCAAGCCTGTCGCCTCTCCCCCTGAACAACGCCAGAAGAGAGGAGGGTCCACCCTTTGTCGAGAAGAATGGTTCCAGAACCCAAGCTGTGAGTGGAAGTGAGCCCGGCTATATCTAGATGGTATCTCTCAACCTCCTGTACCAGCTCAGCCTCCTTCCCCGCCAGTGAGGTGACATTCCAAGTCACAAGAACCAAAGTTGGTGTCTGAGGTTTGAGTCAGCCAGGCACTCGGCGCCGGCCACTGCTCAAAACACAACGCACCGCCCCCCTAGGGCCTCTCCAGCAGGCGGTGGGCCCACCGAAGAGTGGCTCCATGTTGTGGTTTTGGGCTGAGCCCAACCAGGCCCCGTGGGTATAGGCCTGGCCCCCAGGTGCTCTCACCCCAGCCCCTCCCCCAGGCCTGGCCCCCTATGTTTGAACATGGTGTTTGTTATGGATAAACCATGACTAGCACAGAAATCCAATAACAACTCACCACTCGGGTTCAGAGCAGGGAGGCCGTTCCTCCCAATCATGCCCCTCCAGGTATCACTGTCATTGCCCACGTGGGCATTAAAGTCCCCCAGTAGAATGACAGAGTCCCCTGTGGGAGCACTATCCAACACGCCCCCCAGGGACCCTAAAAAGGCAGGGTACTCTGCACTGCCCTTAGGTGCGTAAGCACAAATGACAGTGAGAGACCGTTTACTGGCCCGAAGGCACAGGGAAACGACCCTCTCATCCACCGGGGTGGACTCCAACACCTGACGACTAAGCCTAGGGGTTATAAGCAAGCCTGTCGCCTCTCCCCCTGAACAACGCCAGAAGAGAGGAGGGTCCACCCTTTGTCGAGAAGAATGGTTCCAGAACCCAAGCTGTGAGTGGAAGTGAGCCCGGCTATATCTAGATGGTATCTCTCAACCTCCTGTACCAGCTCAGCCTCCTTCCCCGCCAGTGAGGTGACATTCCAAGTCACAAGAACCAAAGTTGGTGTCTGAAGATTGAGTCAGCCAGGCACTCGGCGCCGGCCACTGCTCCAAACACAACGCACCGCCCCCCTAGGGCCTCTCCAGCAGGCGGTGGGCCCACCGAAGAGTGGCTCCATGTTGTGGTTTTGGGCTGAGCCCAACCAGGCCCCGTGGGTATAGGCCTGGCCACCAGGTGCTCTCACACGAGCCCCTCCCCCAGGCCTGGCTCCAGGGTGGGGCCTCAGTGAACCCATACCGGGCAGTGTAAACATAAGCCCTTGATTTGTTTGTCATAGGTGGTCTAAGAACCGCCCTTTGTCTGGTCTGTCACCCAGGACCTTTTGCCATGAGACCCTACCAGGGACATATAGCCCCTGACAACATAGCTCCCAGGATCATTCAGGCACTGAAACCCCTCCAACATGTTAAGGTGTCGGTTCCAGGGAGGGGATATCCAACTCCACTATGTGAAATATTATGTACAATATTTGAAATTGATCATCATCTATTAACCTATTTTTGTATTCACGTTTTATACTATATTATTCTTACATAACTTTATTTTTAGACTAGGTGTTCTTTTTCTGAAATATCTGTAAAACAAATGTAATTGGTTAAAAAGCAGAGTTAAATGTTAAAGAAACTAACTTTTTATACAGTGTGTTGCAGCAAATCTGATGCCTTTTATGGTCAGTAAGCTGCATACATGCCATCTCATTTACACGTCTAAGACCAGAAGTGTAACTTTAGACTTCATTTTTATTCACTTCCACAGAGATTGTGTGTTTGGCTCCAAGTGCTGCCAAAATGCAGGTGACACATCCTATGCAAATACTAATGGGAGACTCAAGCTGCTGCTGCTCTGTGTAGTTGGTGTTCATCTAGTACACTGCTGTTATAGTCATTATATACAGCCCTCTCTCAGAAGGCACAGAGCTCAGCTGAAGACGCTGCTGTTTGGGTCACTGACACACAATGTGTGTCAGTGACATCAGCCAGTCATGGGGATGAGCCAAGTGGCAATGACATCACTGTGGTGAGCACTTTTATTTGCTGTTGTTCTTGGATGCTGAACCCTTTGGGATCTCCGCAGCCCTCTCTCAGCTGCACAGAGTTCAGTGTACAGTAAGACATTTATCTCTGGAACAGGATGGAGGCTTTGGGAAACTGCTGTATTTAAACCACCATCTCAGCACTTCAGACAAACTTTTACCATTTAGCCAAAAGAATCTCATTTTCTACTGACATACATTATATAATGATTTCTGGCACATTTGTCTGCTTAAAAAACAGATATCAATATATATGGCTACTAACAGTTCTTTGGCTGCCACTGATTTCTTGCAGGGAAGGGTCAGGTTTGTTATTGTGCAGATCCTGATAGTGATTTTTCTCTGCATCAACCTTTTACTCATTATGACCTTTTTTAAAAAGGAATGCTTCTATACAACTCCACGCTACATCTTATTTGCTGTTACATTACTGTCAGATAGCTTGTTACTATTCATGTCTGATATCCTTCTCATTTTCACCCATTTTAATATCACTATGCATGTGTGTTTATGTGTCATTATGTTTGTTCTGGTATTTCTGTATGTTGTAGTTACACCAGTTACTCTGACAGCAATGACCCTGGAGCGCTACGTGGCCATCTGCATGCCCCTGCAACATGCAGAGCTGTGCAACACATGTCGAACTATACATT